GCCCCCGCCACTCCCGCCGCCCCGCCCCCACCCGGCACGGCGCATCGGCCTCGCGGAGGTGCGAACGGACGGAAAGGAGTCCCTTTCGAAACTTGGCAATATTTCAACGCGTTTCCTATTTTATTTCTAGAGGGGGGTGGCTAAGGTAAACCAGGGACCGAGAAAGAATGGGTGCACCAGTCCCAAACACGCCAAAAAAATTGAAAAACATGAAACAGTCACACAAAAACAAGGGAACTCAAATGACGGGGCGAGGCGGAAATCAGCGACAGCGAAGTCGAGAGCCGCCAAAAGCAGGTCCACTTCAAAGGAGCGGAGAGGAGACAGGCCCCTAGCCAAGTCTCGGAGCGCGTCGGCCAGCGGTCGCAGCACCAGGACCACGACCGCGAGGGTCATCAGCAAGGCGCGGAGGAACGCCGATATCGCGACGCAGAGGCTCCTGGCCAAAGTCAACTCACCGCACCGTGGTCAGTGCTCCGTGCCGTGTCTGCCTGTCTCGGGGCCTCGGGCATGGGGCGGCCCGTCACAGTCTCACCTGGCATGTCGGCAGTGCGAGCCCTCGCGGTGGGCCTCGGCGCGGAGTCCATCGCCCAGCCGTCTCCGACCACCCTGGACGGTCTCCTGAGGGAGCTCAGGGAAAGGGAGGCCGCGGCGGCAGCGGCAGCACCCACGGCCATACCCCTCTCCACCATGAAGGGCTTGAGCGTGACGGACCAACGCACGGCGGCGGTGGTGGGGCTGGCGGCCACGGGGGGACCCGGGGGACCCGGCGGCGCGGTGGATTTTGCCGACGAGGACGGTGACCCGGACGAGGTCAGAGGCCGCGAGAACATCCTGCGGCAGGCCGCTCTGCAGAAGAACCAGTACAACAAGATCCTCCTGAGCAGCAAGAGGGCAGGAATGCCAAAGCTCCTCGAACAGGTAGGCCTACTGTCGTTTACTATAGTATACGATAAATTCGCCTCCGTCTGCTGATTCGTGAACATTTGTGCCACGTAAATCGGTAGGTCATCCGTCCCGACTGGGGCCCCGTCGCAGCCCCACAGGTAGGAGGATGGCGCAGGGCCGCACTCAGCCGTCGACTTTTCAGATCTCGCATATTCGAACGAAACCGATGTAGAGAACTGGGTGATCTACATCGTGTTCGAACCCACAACACCGACGACGCCTTCTACAGTATTCCAACCCCCTCCGGAGAGAGGAGGCCAGCGAACCGACTGCGGGGATTGGCGAGGACGAGGAGTCCACCACGATGCCCTCGCAGGCCTCCGCCTACACGGACACGAACAACCCATTTGCCGCGCACGATGTCTCCCAGACCAAGTCCATCCTCATCCACAGGGCCACGTCCACGGAGCCCGTCGAGGAGGTGTCGAGGTTGGTACGACTTCAACGTCACGGAGTACGGGTCGGAGAAGACCATCAGTGACGAGTTGGGATGGCGTAAGCAGGAGCCGACCGGTGGGGGTGCGCTTCGCGGAGAGCGCCGTGCTGTACCAGGAGGTGGTGGAGGCGCTGTCCTCGCTGGGCAGCGACGTGGACACCCGGCTGGACACGGACAGCCCCGTGGCGGGGGTGGACAGCCCGCCGCACACGCACTCCCGCACCGCCTCGTTGTCGGACGGCGACGGCGATAGCGGTTCCAACGTGAGTACGCGGGCAGGGCGCCTGCCAGCGATGGGGTAGGCCACCCGCACCGTGTTGCCGCTCGGCGGGCCAGCCGACCGTGAGCCGCACCCTGCCTGCAGGTGAGCGCCCTCTGCCTCGGGGGCTCGCGGCGTCACTCGGAGACCAGTCTCAAGTTCGAGCGCATCCACGTGCGCACCAAGGACGTCGACAGTGACCAGGGTGGCAGCGCCAGCAGCAGCTACACCAAGTAGGGCGAGGCCTAGGACCACTCTGAGGCGCCTGTGGGTGGGTGCTGGCTGAGCCCCGTTCACGTCGGCAGGCTACTCGTCAGAGTCCCTCTGCGCTCCGCGCCGCGGTGGCAGGAGTCGTCCGACGAGGAGCTGCTGGGTCTCGGCTGCTCCCGGATCAGCACCGAGGAGTCCAGGTTGCTCGAGGAGGCAATGGCCACGTCAGCCACGAGCCTCCAGGGGGCGGCGCCTTCCGGGGGACATGGCGGCGAGCAGCGGCAGCAAGGTGCGTAGCGAGCGGGGTGCGGGCCTACCCTTGCGGGGCGCCCGAAGTTCACCGCCCGGTTGTGCTGCAGAGGACAGGGTGCACATCCACCGCCACCCGCTGACGGCCACTGCCGACCCCCTGCCATCACGGGGCAACCGCTCGCCCAGCAGAATCCGCGACCTATCCGCCACCGTGCTCAGCGCGAGCAACGACCTATTGGCGATGGTTGTCCCCGAACCGCCGGCGGCGGAAGGTCTTGTGGCGGAAGGTCTTGTGGCGGAAGGTCTTGTGGCGGAAGGTCCTCCGGCCCAGGAGGACGTGCCCGACGCGCCCGCGCCTGAGCCCAACGTGAAGCTGAGCTGCCCGTCGGCCAAGTCCGAGCTGTCAATCCCCGACAAGCTGCAAGAAAACGACACGCATGAAGAAGGCGTCGTGGGCTGCATCACAGAGACCGTTGTCACTGAGGAGGAACCAGGGGTAGCGAGCGGGAACTGCAGCGCTTCCCCTGAGCCGGGAGATCACCAGGAACCGAGCGTGGTCAGTCACAACGATGACGAGGCCCGTGGGTGCGTCGCGGCCGCCGCCGCGGGCTGGGCGATGGGGGCGGCTGCGGGGCTCGCCGCGGGGACGGCTGCGGGGGCGGCCGTCGGGCTGGCGGCGGGGGCGGCCGCTGGCCTGGCTGCGGCGCGGCTGGCCGCGGTGCAGGCGGGGGCAGGAGGGGTCGCGCAGGTCAGCGGCGGAGACACCGGAGAGTTCGCCGGCCCCTTCAGCGTCCGCTTCACTGCGGAGCGACTCGGGCCGGAGAGGGAGGCACCTGTCCTTGTCGTGGGACAGAGCACGGCGCCGATACTTGCGCGCGAGGAGCAGCGCCCCGTCCAGGGTAACGGTGGTCGACCAGGGTCATCGCTCAAGTGACTATAAGGGGTATTTGCCGTCGCTCACACCGCAACTTACAGCGCAGGCCGTGGCGGTGGCGGGGCCTTCGCACTGGGACCACACGCAGCCCGCCGAGGATCCAACCTGCAGCACGCCACCAGCGCTGCCCCTTCTTCAAAAAGACCGCCATGACGAGATAGAGCGCGACACGAAGGACGACGAGGGGAACGTGAGAAACGACGTGTTCTGCCTCGACAGCTCGTGCGAACTGTTGATGCAGTCGGACGAAGAGGACGACGACAACGGCTGGGGGAGGGAGCTGGCCCGGGACAACGTGTCGCTCTGCGCGTCGCTAATCGCCCTCAAGGGTGACTCTCGGCCGTCGGTGCGCGCCGAGGACATGGTCAGGGAGATCTTTCCACTCGCTTTACTGTCGCTGGTTCAGAAGTCATCGTAAAACAAACCTAACGCGAAAAGTGCGTCATTTTCACCCTCTCAGGCCGAGGAAGTGGCGGTGGAGTCGTCGTTACAGAAGGTGGAAGAGCCACCGGTAGCGCCAGTGGTAGAGCCGGGGCTGCAGCCGACGGAGCGAGTCCTGAGGCACTCGTCGGGCCCGATGAGCCGCCACTGGTCCGCGAACACCGAGAGCGAACCCGAGCCGGAGGCCTCGATGTCCGCCCCGCCGCCCCAGGAAGGCCTCTTCGGGGCGTGGGCGCCGCGTCCATTCACGCGCTCCTCCGTGTCCGTCCAGACGTCGGAAGAGCCGCCGACCGGCTCGGAGCACGGCGAGGGGAAGGACCTGACCCCCCGGGAGCGCGCACTTGCACTGCTGCACGAGGTGGACTCGCGGCTCAACGCCATATTCTGTACGAGGTGGGTGGGTGGAGGTGAGGCGGATCCTGCCGTCTGATTCAGAGGATCGTTCAAGAGGGGCTCTCCTTTACCTGTCCCATGACTGCAACAAGGACGGAGCCGGACGGAGCTATACGTGGGGGGTATAGGAGACTCCTTTTGAACGATCTTCGGAATCAGACGACGGGCGTACCGTGCTCTGTGTCATGAACTTCGGACCTCTTGGCCACGCAGGCCGGACCCGAACGCGGAGGCCCTGCTGCTGCGGCAGGTGGGCCCGCAGCCCCGACAAGAAGTTCCTCCCTCTGAGGACGCTCGGCCTCCCGCCGCGCACCAGAAGCCCAGAACGACGAAGTTCGTGAGCCGCTTGACGACCATAAGAACCAGACGGACGACTCCAACGCCGCCGGCCAGGCCTCCAGCCAGCACCACCAGGGTGGGCACCGTAGGGCAAACCAGGTAGGGGTTCGCAGATGTGGTCCAGATCTCGGCCACACCGTACTGCCAGCCTGTGAGTGAGTCCTCTATTCTCGTCTCTCTGCCCTTCCCTGCTAGCGACACCGTGGGGCAGGCTGGTCGCCCAGGAGGCGGTGCGGTCTCCAAGCCCCGCAAAGAGGCTGACGCGGACGCGAGGACTCTGGCCGTGCCGGTCGTCAGCCACGCTCAGGGCCGCGCGCGCAGCTGGGAGCGGGCTCGCAGCCGGCCGAGGGGAAGGCCCGGGGGTGGCGGCGGCGGTGGTGGCGGGGTCGGAACCGGCGGGGAGAGGTCCATCGAGCGGTCCAGGAGCCCCTCCACCGACAGATCCGATGACTTCCTGAGGAGCACACGTCACAAGGGACACCACAGTGACGCCTGTCACAGGGGGTAGGTCGACACGCCCACACGGCCACGCGCCGGTACTTTCCCGGACGCGGACTGGACTGGACCTTCTCTTCCTGTCGGCACGCGCGAAGGGATAGGCTGCGGCCGGGCGAGGGGCGCCAGGTGGCGGGCGGCAGGCGCAATCTCGCGCCGCCCCCACACCACCCGCCGCGCGCGCCCCGTGCCGCCGGCCTCCGCGAGGGAAGGACGGGCGCCCGCCTGCGCCTCAGCCGCTCCAGCAGCGGCGCCCGCCAGGCGAGCCAGGCGCTCGGCGGGGTGCTCGGCCTGGCGCGGCAGCCCTTCGAGCGCGGCCAGACCACCAGCCTGCAGAACACGATCCGCGCCACGCAGATGGAGACGCTTTTCGACCCCGCCGACGTGGCCGCCCTGCGCCCGCACGTGGAGCGCATCCCCATGAGCCCGCACTGCGCCGCGGCCATCAACTCGGTCAAGGCGGCGCAGCCCCGCGAGCCCACGCCGCTGTCCAACCTGGAGTACCTGCCGCCGCTCCCGGACAGGAGGCCCTCCTCCACCGCGAGCCTGACGGAGGCCATCGCCAGGATCCTACAGATCGACCCCAGCTCCGTGGCCACTTCACCCGGGCGAACGGTTGTCACCCAGAGCCGACCCGCTCCCGCTGGATCCAGTCAACTCCACGAGCAGGCCCAGCCCACCCCGTCAGGCGCGGGACCTGCCCAGGTGGACGATGCACCGGTAATGGTTCGGTTGGGTCACGCTGATGAGGTTGATGAGGTGCACGGTCGTTAAACCAGCTCATGATGAGTTTCTTCCGCATCCAGGCCCTCAGCTCACTCTACCGGCCGACGGTGTCCTCGGGAGGCGCGGCGTCGACAGCGGCGCGCTCTGCTTGGAGAAGCGTTCCACAAGTTCGGACTCCAAGGCCGACCTTGATGCAGAGGGAGTCCGGGTCCACCGCAGGCGGCACCGGGGCCTCCGGGGCTGTGGGTCTGCGCGCCGCACACGCCCGGCGGGGTGCGGACAGCAAGGTGAGTGCGGGCGGCGGGCGTGCAGTCGCCGCGAGGACAGTCGGCGGCACGCTGAGGCCGGACCTGACCACAAGGTGCAGAGGGTCAATCCTCCTGCGGGGTCGGTGAACAAGAGCGGGGCCCACGTAGGGCGTAAGGCTCTCTGGAAGGGGCGCGCAGGCCGGGCCCACTACGGGGCCCACCACCAGGGCGCCGAGGTCAGGAGAGAAAGAGATCAGGTAGAACCGATGTTTGCCGAGATTTCCTCCTCGATTTGGAAGCACACCCATTGTATACAGCCCTCCAACTGTAGTACGTTTGCTTCGCAGCTCGACAGTCGCACGTTCAAGATTACGAGTACGATGCAGACCGTGCGACCCACAGTAAAGACAGCCACCCAAATCGCACAGCTGACTGCCAGGCTTCGTCTACGCCATGGCTGTAAGCCCAGAACTATCCAAAACCCCGTCAGTAACGATTGCACGCAGTGGTCGTTGCCCCACATAGACCGCTCCCCAGCCTACGGACATCCACAACCCGAGCCGAGCTGCAGGGACAGGGAAGTGCCCGTCAGTGCTCTGGCACCACCAGCCTCCGTGCCAACTCTCAGCCTCGAACGGCAGCAGGACCGAAGGGAAAGGAAATAAGCAAACAGGTTTGATTTTTAAAATTGTTATTATAATATAAATAGTGCACAAACAGTGATAAAAGTATATGTTTGAGCGTATAAGTTGGGTACATGACAGGAAAGATGGGAGAAAAAAAGAGGGACCAAAATGAAGATAGAATGGTCCACTTCTATATACAGCGCATGTTTCAGGGACACTGCAAAATGAAGAATGTTCAAACATACGAAACATTGGAAGAATAAAAGTTGATGTATCCCCAACCACCTCAAACTCCATTGTCAAATTTCCAATTGAATTGGAGCATTTGTAATACTCTGCTCATACCCACCACTATGATTATAACATAAAGGCACCTATTCAAAAATTGAATTCTTTAAAATGGGTATTACATTTGAGCTAAACTATGTTTGATAAATGATCTTCACAATATACAGGTTTTCAGCACTACAACAAAATAACGTTCAGCTGTCAGTGGCAGGCAGCTTACTCTTGTCCAAAGTGTCAAAAAATGGGTGTTTCAATGCATTTCGTGCACTGATTCTTTTCTCTGGATTGTAAGTTAACATTTCCTGAAAAACAAATCACGCAGAACATTAAATACATTCAAATCAATAATTTTGAATAATTTTGAAATGAAGACACCAAACTCACTTGCAGAAGGTCCAACCCAGCTTCATTGATATTCTTTGCATGAGATGCTAAATTATTTGTGGACCAACTGGGGAAAGTAGCTTTGTATTCTCGCAAGCTTGAGACTCCAGGCCAATTAGTCTCATTAGGTGTTGTGAGAACTCTGCATACAAGAAAAAGTATTGTGTTGAGTAAAGCCTCATCATAAGTTTTGACTAAATGATTTTTTAAATTTTATTTGACGAAATGTTGTTTTTTTTTAATGTTACCTGAAGATTCTGAAGAGCTGATCAATTTCTGAGTCACCTTGGAAAAGAGGTCGCTTTGATGCCATTTCAGCAAAAATGCAACCAATAGACCAAATATCTATTGGGCATGAATATCTCATGGCACCAAGAAGGATTTCAGGAGCTCTGTACCACAGAGTAACAACCTGGCAGATTGGTAAAGACACGAGTATTTCAGTAAATTGTTCTAACTATTTAAGCTCGTTAAACACATAATTCTAATAGATTACCTCATGGGTGTATACTCTCACTGGGATACCATAGGCACGCCCTAGACCAAAATCTGCAACTTTGATTATACCATTGTCAGCAATGAGAAGGTTTTGGGGCTTCAGATCTCTGTGGAAAACTCTCCTTTTATGGCAAAACAGGATAGCTTGTAGTATCTGTTATGAAAATAAGGAACATATCTGTCAGTAACATATTAAGACAAATTTAACAAAGCAAAGCAGATGTTTTACCTGATACAAGTAAGATTGAACAGTTTCAGGAGGCATACATTCTGAACCTTTGAATGAATCCATGTATTTCTTGAGGTCCATTGACAAAAATTCAAAGATAAGATAGAGGCGCGGCTCTTCCATAACATGTTGCAAAAGCCTACAAAGAAATCATCAAGCATCAAGACACCAGGACAATAATGTGTGGAACACCCATAATTTTCAACACATTACCTCACAATGTTTGGGTGATCTAGTTCTTTCAACAAAGAAATTTCACGGATAGCAGTGGATGGGATACCTTCATCTTCACTTTCCAGGCGAATCTTCTTCATGGCAACAACTTGCCCTGTAAGCTTGTTGCGGCCTTTGTACACAACACCATATGTACCTGGCAAAAATGTTGCTCTCAGAAAGGGTTCAAACAATAAAAATCAACATATTACAATTTAATGCCAAAAGCAGAATTTTGCAACATTATTAGGCTGACATTGCACTGCCATTTAAATATAGAAGCAGGAGGACTTATACCCCTATCCAAAACCAGTCCTTAACTTTTGAGCGAGTTGTACCTACATACTGAATAATTTCATGTTCACTAACCTTCTCCAATTTTTTCAATTTTCAGGTAATCTGCCAGCCCTCCAGTCGGTTGCGGAGCCCTGTCTCCCATTCTGCAAAGCGAGAGTGATGAGTAGGGTTAAAGATGTTTGTATGGCTTTGATGATGCTCCAAGTCACTTCAACCCCATACCCCACGAAGAGAACACATGTAGACTGATATGGTTAACAGCGCATAACAATTGAGAGAAGCAAATTAATAATCGTAAGATACTGAGCCAGCTCAGTATCAATCCGCAAGATTCACATGTACAGGAATAAGATGAGTTAATAAAAAGTACCCTCTGATGAAAGAGAACCGTTAAAGAATCAGCCGTTACAAGTGCTTTCCAAATAACTTACTTCTTTTTGGTCAGCAAATTACAAAAATCCTTTCAAATATGACAACACTGTATAGAGCGACTAGAAAATTGTTCAGGACAGTGGGCCTCCCATTCAGAACTTGCTATTTTTCTTTATCGTCACAGGGATAACGAAGGCGGGAGTGTGGTGTGTAACCAGTGAATCTACAACAACCTGTAACAACCGGTCTTTTTGAATTTTTAACCATGCGAGCAGGCTGCAACCTAATATTAGAAAACAATGAGTGCATTTTGGGACAAAACAAAAAGTAAACATCATCATATGGCAATCACAACATAAATATTACATCTTTTATAATCATACAGCCGATTTTGTGAAGGAAAACAAAGAGAGCAATGTTTCAAAATAAGATAGTTTTCGTAAAGTTGGTCATAGTGACCAAAGATAAGCCAAAGTGATACTTTTTGTATAAGGCGGTGCATGAACAATTGAAAGTTATGTGAGAGACAAATGATGAGAAGTTTGTTGTTTATCTTTAACCTTATTCCTGATCATTATGAACAAAGTATTAAATTTGTTCAATATCATTCTACGATATACTATTAGAATGGTTGACTAACATGTTGGAGGCTGTCGCCGGTTGCTTTCAATTTAGATGTTTGAAAGCATTGCCGTGAGAATAAGATTTGATTGCGTCCGTCTCACCCGCTTTGTCAACAGATTTTAACAAGGAACAAAAAATGGTAAGTCGCTGGTTTTGTCAATGGTTTCTGTGATTTTTTGTCATTTTGTACAGTTTCTTCATTTTATTTCTTTAGTGCTCTATGACCTTCTAATCCCTATGTTTCTCTATAACATGGAAACTAAAAAGTTATCACTGTCAATTTTTTTTCAAAGCTGTACATTTTAAATATGTTTTTATAATGCATTAATTCAGGGGGATCCAGATGTGTGGCCGTTACTACTTGAAATGACAAGAGATGAATGTAAACGAATCCTAAGAAGACTAGGTATTGACCTGCTCTATCTTTACATTTTAAGTATTTGTCGGTAACCCTAATTTGTTCCTGCTAACATCTCTGAATTTTATTTAAGAGCTGGAAGCATACAGTAATTTAGTCTCAGTGCTCAGAGCTCAAGGGAGCCTAACACCTCAGAAACGTCGATTACTTCAAAATGTTGCGCAAACGCTCAGCATATCAGAGGAAAGGCACAAGGCAGAATGTAGACGCGCAGTCAACAGTGAAAAGCTAGCTACCATAGCAAAACAGTGAGTATTCTCTTTACTGTACTATGGAACTGACAAAAAATTGCACCAAACTTTTCATTAATTGTGTAATATTAACATTACAGAATGGGAGGTGCAAATTCTGGGACAGAGTGGGCTATTGAGGGCCGGAGACTTGTTCCACTGCTACCACGGCTTGTTCCACAAACTGCTTTCACTGCAATTGCCGATAAAGTTGCCAACATGGCTATGACAGAAGGTGCAAAACTACCTCTTCCTACTCCCCCTGTAAAGAAAAGACTTTCATCACGTAAGAAGTTTCATCCCATATTCACTCAATTCCATTATTTACTTAGTATTATGTATTCTGGATTTTAAAATATTTTTTCCCCCCTTTTAGCACCTATTGATGAAACACTTCTAGAGCCCAATGTACCTGAGGCCAGCAAAACTCTTCAAATATCTTCTGGAAGCCCTCTTTCTGTTACCATACCTTCCAGTGAACTTCACCATCAGTCCAGCAAACTGTCAGCTACCAATTTTCTTGACTCTCCTCAACCACCTCAAGTTAGCCCTTTGATTTCAAAACAATTGCTGCAGGATGCTGATTCTATTGTCCCTCGAACAAATCTGCCGTCCTCATCAGACTTCTCACAACCAGATCAGATCAAACAAGAGGGTTCTTCAGGACAATCTTCTCACACTTTTCAGACAGCTCTTCCTCCAGTCTCTCCAGGTGCTTCCCAACATTTGGTCCAGACATCTCAACAATCATTACAGAAATCTCAAGTTGTATTATTTATGAAGAAAGAGGAGAAATCACAAGAAGAACGTTTATCACGTAAGCGACCAAGATCAGCATCTTTAGATATGGCACTGAATATTCCAGCTCAAGGATCGATGCTGCCTCCTCCTGTGAAGAAGGTAAAATATACATTAAATTCGATGGTTGAAAAATTCAAATCTACATGCTTGAAAACCTTGTGCACTGGTGTATACTTTTTTTTTAGGAAGCAATATCTCCTTTGTCACCACTGGGTTCTGCATCGCCTCTAGGTCAGCTCCCCCCAACCATATCTCCTCAGAGTCATAGTCAGCTAGTTCAGCAACAGACACTGCAGGCTGCTGCTGTGGCTGCCGCCGCCGCATCTGCTTCATCACAGCAAGTACAATCTCCTGTCCCTCATCAACAAGTACAGCATCATCAAACACCTTCACAACCATCAGCTCCTGTGCCATTGCAATCATCTCAACTTCAGCAACAGCCACCACCCCCACAGACCTCTAGCACACTATCTAATGCGTCACAACCAAGCAACACCTCATCAAACTCATCTAGAACTATAACAATCCCTTCTCAGGGAACTGTCAAATTATCACTTTCAACAACAACACCCAATTCCGTGACAGGGATTCCATCTGGCACTCATAAGGCAAGGCTACTACGAATTAGAGTAAGTGTAGGTAAGCCACCCACATAATTTTCACTATTTTCATATCTCTGGTTACAGGTTATTATTGTGTCCAGTACAACTCCCAGCATTCTGCAACGATCTCTCAGTGTGCCTGTTGTAAAGTCACTTTCAACCAATGCTCCCAGCCAAAATTCGCCTGCAACATTAGCCCTTAATACTGCTCAACAAACTCATCAAGCAACAAGCACTGCTACTTCTAGCAGTGTTGATACATCCTTTAACACCACTCCAGCAGGTTAACAATCGCCATCAATCTATCTTGTCTGCTTTGATTTACTTCTCCATTTTATATTTCTATGAATTTTACTATCTTTTACAGTGTCAACCAGTTTACCCAGCAAAGTCTCAGGAAAACTTTTCTCACAATCCACACCAAAGACAAGGCCAAGAGCAAACTCTATTGTTATTCCTGTCACCCCAAATCAAGCAAATGTGATGAGTGGTGTTGGTGTTACAAGTGTTCAGCTGAAGTCTGCTTTGCAAGCTGGCAAACCAGCTGTACTTAAATCTGGTGAAACTGGTGGTAATAAATATTTTATTATTCCTGATTAAAATATCCTGTCAAACTGTAATTTTCTCTCATAATTGTGGTAATGACAATTTTACTTTCAGGGCTAAAAATAATGCCTCTGTCTAATGTGGGATCTAATTCAAAACTGCTGCCAAAGGCTGCAGGTTCTACTCCAGTGTATGTTGTTGGCTCAACCTCAACAGCAAGTCCTACTGTTTCAATGGTTGCAAGGACTGTTTCGTCAGGTAAATCAGGAAGAAAAAACATTTCAATTTTACCCATTGGCTTCTTAATTCTCCTACTTGGTGTGACTTACTATCTCTATGTGAATTAATGATCTCACTGTCATTTTACTTAGGTCAACGTGTGATGACTTTCACTAGCAGCTTACCAAAAGTTGCTGTGAGTACTTCTCAAGGGAGTAATGTGATCTCTATGTCTTCAAAGCCTGTTCAAACACTGCAATTGTCTCAACCTGGTAGTGTAGTCACATCTTCAGGATCAATACCGCTATCAACATCTGGAAAACCTAATGTTATTGTGGTCCAAAAGGGCTCAACAGCTTTTGGCCGAGGGGTAACTCTTACTCATGGAGGCAAGGTACTTTACTTTTTATTATTTTAATAACTAACTGGTAACATGTGTAAATGTACCTTGGTTAATTTTTTTTTTTTTTTTTTTAATTTTTTTTTTTTTTGTGTAGGAGGTTGTTGGGAAAGTTCTCTTAGGGGGGAAAGCCCTGACTTCCTTAAACCCAGGTCAGGTTCAGAGCTCGTCTCAAGTTGTCACCACGTCATTGAACCAAACTTCAAATTTACTATCACAAGTTGTTGCCACCCAAGCAGGAACATCATCTACCTTGCAATTATCTCAAAGTTCTACCCCTGTAACAACCTCAGCTCCCACCAGGGTAGTGACTGTTCAAAAGTATCCTAATACTCAAGGAGCTGGTGGCTCTGTATGTGGTTCAGTATTCATCTGTGGAAGTAATTTTTTCCCAATGATTTTTCTGCTAAACAATTTGTTCTCACTTTTATTTTCAGGGTAATGTTATTGTCTTGGATCTTAGTCAAGAACAATTAAATAACTCAGCCGTGCTCAACGAAATTTTAGCATCTAGCATTCTTCAGTCAAGTTCCGTCATGAACTTTAATCATGGTGCGGTTGGTGATCCTGGTGTCACTTCAATAAACTCGTTGAAGGGCCTCCTTAACTTCCCAACAGAGCAAAGTGGCACTGATTCAGGTCTGATATAAATATCAAATTGTCATATTCTTAAAATAAATTGCTTTTGCATCATGTTTCATTGGTGGCGGTCTGCTGTGACAATGATTTCAATTTTTAATCTATGTGGTGGATGTTTTACTGCAATTATCAAGCTTAAATTATGAAATTGGGCTGCAAAGCACTCATAGGATGAATTGAAACCATATTAAAACAGCCCGAGACAAAGACAAAAATGTAAACATTTTTGAAAAATGCATGTGGCCTGTTTTGTAGTATAGCTTTCAACACTTAAAGCAGTTATTGGTTTGCTTTTACTTTTATGTAAGCAGTTCTTCTCTACAGGTGTGTTGTTAAGTGATGGGAATATTTTGGTGGAGGGCCTTGACCAGTCACTTGCCAGTCAATCTACCAATAGCTTTTCTTTTGAGGAAGATAACATATCTGAATACTCCACTGCCTTAACAGAAAAGATTGACAATCAGAGTTTTGTTATGGATGATAGCTCCATTGATGGTGAGCAGTATGTTCAATTCCAAACTGTAGTGCATTGACTTGATAGAACTGGATAGGCTGTGTGCTGTGCACTGCATGCATGATATAGACTCACTAGCTCAAGCTTTTTTTAACACATTGAGTGCTGTGTGATCCACACCGTGGGTCCCAATAACATAGGATCGCTTACCCCCGCCGCACTCAATGTATTAAAAAGATTAAAAAGAGATCTGAAACAAAAAACAAAACAAAACAAAAAAAGTAATTAAATGTATGTGCCTAAATCTAAACCCCTTTTGCTCACTTCTTTTCCTGTCAGCCATGGAAAGGAAAACTACTGTACGTTGTCTTGGCTGGTGCATCTTTAGTTATCTCACGTTAAATTTAGTTAATTTCCGCATTTACCCCTTCCCCTCCAGTCATAACAATTGTTGCTAAATACATATGCAAATAAAATAATTATGAAATAAAATTTAAAGACAAAATAATTTGATAGAACATTTACCTAGCCAGTTGATCTATTTATGTTTTGAATTTGTGTTACTTTGGCTTTGAGCATTGTAAGTTTTATCAATGAAGTTACATGGAAGATGCATGTATGAAAATATCTTCAGTCCCTTCATGACATAGAAAGGTAAAAGCAACACTCAATTTTCTACTGCATTTTTAACTACTCACTGTCTACTTCATATAATTTTTACACTTGCATGTTCTCCCCCTATTGTTAGATTTGTGTCAAAGTGTGCTTGCTTGGGACACTAATCATTATTTTCAAAGTTCCTACCTTTTTAGTCCTGTCTCTAACTTCTTTTTACTTTTGATGACAGGTGCACAATCATCTAATGGGAATACATCTCAAACAACAAGAAGCCATACTGACATTTGTGCAACAGCAATGTCTAATGCTAACTTAAATTTCAATGATCTTATGGATGAAAGCAGTCTTGGTTAGTAAAAGAGCACTTTCCATTCGTACAAATTTCATTCTTGAATTCTAAAATGATATTTTCTGCATAGATGGTATGCAAGGATTATCTCTGGATGGTATGAAGATGGATTTAGCTCCAGAATCAGACAGCAATCCTAGTAACATTGGTACTGGAGAAGGCACTAATGAGAATTGGGTGAGGAATGCGGAAAGTCTTCCTACTGATAGCTCTGACTTTTCATGAGGTACTTTAATTTTCCTCTTGTAAAACTTTAAATTTGTTCAATATCCACCGTATAAACACATGTATATACTTAGTGACTCAAGGAGGAAGACAAAAATTTATTTTGTAAGTTGTTATATTGTGTAATTTAACTGGAGCATTATTGTTTTGTTATAATACGTATTCATATATGTAAAAATAAAAATTGATTAGATCTATCGATCTATCCACCTTCCTTCGTATTTTATTGTTTCTGTAATTTTTTAATGCAGCTTCCTCTTCCTAATTCTTTGTTATCGCTGTCGACGCACACCTATGAATTTGTCTTGGAGCCGGGAAGAAAGAAACACTAATTGCTGCCAACCCCGAGCAACATAACCCTTTGCCATTTGTCAGTTTTAGTGGCTTGTCACGAGCTATTCCCCAATTTTATTTTTCAAAAATGACACACAACATTAAAACTCATTCTTAAAAACAATTATACTGAATACTACCGGCTTTGGAAATCGGAGGTAGTGAATCTCTAACAATCCAAGGGTTACACGTTAAACACCCTAACCTCTTAGACTTTTGCATCTTGAATCTTGAGAAATTAAAATACCAAGAGTAAAGTCAAGAGTCCCCTAAAAGAAAACAAAACATGGGAATTTTGAATTGATTCTAGTGACTCATGATCTGTATCTGTATTTCAACTTCCCGATTCTTTTGAGCCTTGACACATTTGTAATTTCTGAAAACTAATGATGGAAGAACCAGCAAAATCATCCACCACTTGCAACATGTATGTACATTAGAGGATAGCGAAAAAAAAGGATTTAAGATATTGATATGGCGGGTATGCGGAAAAGTTGTCTTTTTAGATGTAGAATCCAGTGCAATTTTTTATTTTGAGATCGGACAATATTTTCTGATCTCGCAACGAGTTCAAAGTTATGCATTAGCTCTTATGGGGAAAATCGTCAAAAACCATGAAAAAATGAAAATCGAAAATTTGGGCTTTGTATGTGATGTTTTTTGAAAATCTGTTTTCATAAATGCAATCTACGCCATAAAAGGCATCCACTGATGTGTCACACTTGAAATTATAGTGAGCGGTCCAGTCCCGGCAGGGTATCAATTTAAGGCCAAATTGCATCAAATTGCACAAAAGTCATGAAATTATGCAGCCTTCACCGCCTAAACCATGGGTTGCAATATCAAGTGTGATACATCACTAGATGCCTTTTTTGGCGTAGATTGCATTTATGAAAACAGATTTTCAAAAAACATCACATACAAAGCCTAAATTTTCGATTTTCATTTTTTCGAGGTTTTTGACGATTTTTCCCATAAGAGCTAATGCATAACTTTGAGCTCGTTGCGCGATTGGAAAATATTGTCCGATCTCAAAATAAAAAATTGTACTGGATTCTACATCTAAAAAGACAACTTTTCCGCATACCCGCCATATCAATATCTCAAATCCTTTTTTTTCGATATCCTCTAATGTACATACCCAGTAACTTTAGAATGATGCCCTAATTTAAGTTAAAATAATCGTTTCATTATTGTTAACAGCTGTAATACAAATGATTCTGTGTATGTCTGTCCACGCTGTAATATACCGTATTGCTCATTGTCTTGTTATCGTGACAAGAAACATTTAACTTGTTCCGAGTCCTTCTACAAGACTCAGGTATTCGATGCGTTATCATCACAAACTGGAGATGACAGCGCAGAATCAAGGCAACGAATGGAAGAAATTCTTACACGGTTTCATTCATCTGATTCACAATTTGCTGAACACCTAGGTAAAGTGCATGTGTTCTTTGAGGATAAAGTGATGTGGTATAATAGTTTGTCATGCCATGAAATACCCACCTACTTATTACTTACTGCAGATTCTGATGATGATGATGGTGAAGAAGAAGATGATGAGTTATCAACTCGTTTGGCAGGAGTAAAGTTAGACGATGCAGATGCAGTTTGGCAACGTTTAACAGCCTCAGAAAGAGCTGAATTTGAGAAATTATTGAAGACTGGTGGAATTACTGAGCTCCTTCCAGATTTCACTCCGTGGTGGATAGTGTAAGTGTCCACTCTTCGATTTATTGCTCCCTTTTATAAATTAATTCTTAAACAATGAAACTTGTTACTTTCCAGATTGCCCAAACTTGTTCAAGAAGTCCATACTGATAATGAAGTATCTGATTCTAAAGAAGGTAATTTAGAAGGAGCGTCACCTGCTCAAAGTCAGAATATACCCGCTTTAATGAAAAATGTTCCACAGTTTAAAGACATTTGTGTAAGTATCTTTTTAAAGACTTTAGTTATTTTTTATATATATATTTTTGAAGGTGTTACTCGAAATGTTTCACTGAACTATTCTTGCTGGACATTTTTTTAAATTTCCTTCTTGATTGCTCTTGTGAATTTTTTGTTTTGCATTCCAGAGGAAAACAGCTTCACCCTGCTTGCCTTTCAATGCTGTGAACATTATTGGATCATATGTGTATGTAGTGAGGTGTTTTAATGGGGAGCATCTAGATTGGCCTTCACAAGCAGCATACAGTGCTTGGAATCTAAGTGGAACTCTAAGTAATAACCAGAACTTCTCCAACATGTTAGATGCAATCACAAGTATTGCTGTGAATATGACTCAGGTAAATATAGTTGGTTCAAATTGGTAAAGAAAGTTTTCAAGGCTTCCCTTTTCACCTGATGTATTTCAACATCAGAAAATTAGTACAATGTCACATCATACCTGTAACTTTCTGCAAGGAAAAAAAAATCTTCATCCAAAACAATATTACTTTTGTTTATCTTACTCATATATACCTATTTAAATTTTCAGAAAGAAAATGCAAGTGAAGAAGAAATATCAACAATGAAAAGTGATGCCAAATGCATTCTTTCTTCACACTCGCATATGCAAGCTGCATTATCAGATTTGCACTCATTATTTCATGCTGCTTTACATCAACGCCCTTCAACAGCCAAAGGTCCATTTTCACAACGATTCCCAGACGGAGCTGATAACTTATTACCACGTGATAAAATCAGGCTCACAGTGAAAAAGATAGAATTTTATCTATCATGGACACTAGAGAAAGAATTTCTTGTTACCATTCAAGAATGATTTGAGAATTCTACATGTGAGTGTATCATAAATAAAAGTTCATGCACACTTTAAATATCTCTGGTGTTTATGCCCTAGTAGGCATTTTCATTATTTCCTAAAAGCTTGCTCATGACTTTACAATAACCTGGGTAGAGCTTTCAGCAAACATTCAAACAAAATTAAAAGCAAAGCTTGCTCTTTTAAAACTAAAGTACTACAGCTTGAACAAACGGTCATTGCCCGGAAAACCAAGTTTTCATTTCTTCAAGCCTTTGGAGTCAAACTTTAACACAACAATTGTATCAATAACAATAATAATGCATTAGAGACAATCAACAACCAACAATAATCCAGTATGCCTCCTAAGAAGGGACATCCAAGAGAAAACAATGTGAGAGGAAAAAAATAGTACCATTTTTATAAAGCTTATATATAGGGAGATTAATGAGTGAGTTCATTATTATCATAGTGCTTAGTTATAAGGCAAAATTGAAGTAATTATTATAACAATAAAAAATAGTCTAAGCGAAGAAGGAACTAACATCAGTCTACATAAGTCCTTTTCTTATTGCTCTCAATTTTGATAGTGCTAAAAGGTATTAGTTTAGGATGCAAAATGTTGAAGGTCTGTGACAGTAAAGTAAAAAGTAATGAGAAGCAGCTGCCAGAATCAGAGCAAGATGGAGTTCAAACAGAGCAAGATGGAGTTCAAACTGGCAAACATTCAATTAAGAGTAGAGAACACAACAAAGAACAGCAAACTCGCCATTGAAATGAATAACTGACTGACACTTTGTTAGTCCCTCTCTCAAGATTTAGCACTCTGATATGCACCATACCTGAAGTAGGATTCATTCAAATTTTAAGAAATTACCATGCTCTGCAGTCAAATCAAAATTACTTCAATTTATGTTGTACTTTCTGCTCTAGCCTCCTTCACATACACTTCACATACCTTCACGCTTCTAATGCAATGAATAACATTTCAAACCGCAGAATGACTAGCACGTAGTATTGAGACGACCAAGTAGAGTGGAAATAACATAGATAAGGAAAAGAGAATATATATTTTAAGCTTTAGAATAGCTCAAATGTTACCTTAATCTTTGAAAGGTTGGAAACTAGCAATAAGGAACATGCTAGTGTGCTCATATTTTTTACGAACAGTATTTTATAAAATCCCTTTTCGCTAGCTATCTATTCAAAGTAGACAGGAAAGCTAAACATATTTATGCCTACGATGATATAAAATGAGGTATACTCAAACAAATAGAAATATGTTGTGTTGTCCTAAAATTATGTTGATATATATATTTATCCAAAGGGATGAGATATAATAAACTGGCAGCATTGTCTCAAAAGTAGATTACATAAACAAAAGTCATAACAAGACCATCAGTGAAGTTTCATATTGATCATGTTTTGTTGACTTAGTCTCATTCCAATGGAATATAAAATCAAACATATTTTAATAAAACATCAGGGAAAGACAATAAAATCACTAACACAGGAAACATAAAATGAAGTAAGAAGCTAATAGATAGTTTTCGGTAACATAAAACAATCTGTGCATTGCACACTTTTACAAATTTACATGTATATCACACATATACACATAGTGCATAAATACAGCATATGTAATTAAGCTACATTTAGCCTCAAACTTACTAACTGGTAAAGGTACTTTTTTCAAAAGGAAAACAATGTAAATACATAGTATTGAGATAAAACACTGACAAGAATCAACTGAGTTACTTTAGAAAATAACTGTATCTGCTGTAGAATAATCCTCTTTAACTTTGCAAGTAGGAAAATTCACTAGGTCACAAAAGTTGTATACTGAATAAAATTACGAACACGTGTAGGATACACTTCTAAATTAGTGCAAGGTTTGTCCCTACATATTCATAAAAAGAGAAGTGTTCCATGCACCAATAGATTATTGCATTCATCAGACACTGATATGCAAAATTTGTTGGGTTGAACATCAGTTATGATCCCAGCCAAATTTTAGGTCTTATGACATGAAAATGTGACTAATGTGAATCTTTTGAGAAAAATAGTTTTGAAAGGCAACCATTTGCAATACATCTTGCTTAATTTTGATTGCTTTGATGACACACATTCAATTGTCAGTACACAAAATGGAATTGTTGGTATAATATCAAAACAAAAATGTTTCCAACATAATAAACTGAGATCTTAAAACATAAACTATCACAATAAAATAGGGTAACTATCTTCTGAAAAATGAGAGAAGACTTGAAATTGTACAGGCCTTGAACCCATGGTCAACTCCATAAGATGTGCTAGAGAATTAGCTAAACAAACTCTCTCAAACAGACCTGGAACTCTAAATTAATATTTGGTAAGTACAATGAGTCATAACAAAGGGTGCCTGTATTAAAGCACAATAGAAGTTTTGATCTTGCGTATAGCTCAAAATACACATTAAATGAAACACTCTCAGAAAAAAGCTTAGGTAATTAATTATGTAATAATACAATAATGAAGTACACATTTAAATATGTGCAGCAACTGCTCAAAAGCATTGGGTAGTTTACTAAACTGCTTCATAATACTGTAATAAGAAAACTAAAGCAGGTACCAAATTAAATATTTAATCTTAATATTGATGACTAGAGTACTTGGTGTTTTAAAGGGACCATAACACATAAGACACCTTATTTTATGGAATAGGGTCCAGAAATATAGCTTTGTGGCACACGAAGATGGCAATCAAATGTATGCCATCTACTTCTATTTGTTCAACATTTGACGCATTTGCTTGTTTTGTGCAGCCATTCTCATTTCTGCTGTCTCAGCTTTGCCAATCATGGCATCCAGTTTGTCTACTGCAGAAGGAAGAGCATCTGACTCCACACTTTCTTCTGCTGCAGAAAAAAATTTAAATCAATTTTTTTCTAGCGCAGAGGAGGGAGGACCAGCAGACTCCATTGATTCTTCTGTTACAGAAAAAAAAGTATGTTATCTCCTGGTGTCTAGTATCAGTTGAATTTTTGAAATGAAAATATTCTTTACCTGCTTCAGGAATTTCACTTCCAGATGGACCACCTTCACCAATGCCAACGCGTTGCTTGATGAAGCCTGTGACTCCACTCAGACTGCCACTCAAGCTTGAACTGAAACTACTTCCTACATTGCCAATGCCACACTAAAGTAGGGGAGAATAACAATTAGTAGACGTTATAATTAATTATTATCCTTAAAAAAAGTGATGTATGCCTTCTGAATACATACCTTGAGGTTGTTAAGTTTTTTCTGAGTTATTGATAAAATATTGTGCACCTCATCCAAACCACCTCGCATGCCTTTCATCTGCTCATCTTGCAGATCTGCGGTTTCCTGTGAAATAATAATGAGATAAAATTAATTTATAACTGACCTCAATCTATGGGATGAGTTTCAATTTTATTTTATTTTTAAAATTATTTACAAGTGTGTGTTTTCTTGCAAAGTATCTGACGGATATAATGGGATTTATAAGTTTTGTGGTATTTAGGTCCTCATCGTATTGATTGTTCAAAGAATACAGTAATTTTATTCATGGTGTAAATGAAAGATAACTTTAGAAATGTTAGTGAAGAACTTGCTCTACCACTAAGGGCTGAAGCCTTATACTCTTATGTTGAGTCTACTTCTTTTTCATCTCAAGAGGAGGAGAGGGTGGTGGAGGAGAGGGGGCATGGGGGTTGCAGCACAGGAATCAATAGAAACTTCATCCAGCTGAGGAAGGTCATATAAGTAGAAATTAGAAGGGGAAAAACAGGATCATGCCAAATAACATTATTTTGGGGGCCGAAAAACTTGCAGTGGCCTAAAAACCGCGCTGAGACGTAATTTTCCTTGGTGGAACAACCCCTCTGGCTACAACCCCCTCGCAAACTGACGTTGAGAGAAACCACCCCGTTCGTATTTCCTTACCTCGGCCGCTACTTTAGCCTGGTCTCCTTCTGCCATCGTCACGTCGAATTCTTCGTCTTCTGAAGCTGCTGGGCGGGCAGGAATGGAATCTTTGTCGGGCTTGGGCAGTCCTAGAAGTTCAGCTCGCATACACTCGTGAGCGTAGTCACCCTCCGACATGACAGCTAAAGACCACGGCCCTAGCAGACGACTAGCAGACGACACGGCCCCTCGAACCCCTAGCTCAAAGCGTTATCAAGGGGGCGCATGCTGCAGGGAGTCGCGCCTGGGCAAAATACTACAGCGTTGTTGCGCTGTTTGTCCCGCCTGACTAAGTCGTCGAACCCATAGAACTTTAATTAGACAAAAACGAAACCGAAACTGTAATGCTGATAAAACTATATCAGCGAGAGGGGCAAAGATAAAAGCATCGAATTGTACGACGCAGTTGGTACTCGTGAGACCTTGACTGGTTGAGGAAGAGGTTGGGGGTGGG